TGAACCTTCCCTGCTTCTTCAGCTTTAACAAAGTCATATTTTCTTGGCTGTTGGTCTGGTTCCCCCTCATGCAATGTGTCTGCTCCCCCCCCAAAAAAAGCAGCTGGGGAGAGGGAGAGGACATTTGTAGTGGCCCCAGGCACCAGTGACCTGGCTGGCAGGGAACTCTTCAAAGTCCCCCAAATCACAGCCTTCTCTTGATGCTGCTTAGAAATGACTGGTGCAGTCATCCCCCCCCCTTTACTTTCCTACTCCTATGTCTCTCCGTGGGTCTCTGCGCCTCGGCCTGAGCCCAGCCCCACCGTCCCTTACCCGCTGGATCCGAGATCATTTCCTGACTCCCCGCCCGCCATGCATCGGGGCTGAGCAGGTGGCGCTAAGACAAAGACCACAGCGGCCCAGCAGCCAGGAGCCGGGCTCGGTGAGCGCGCCGTGGGCACGGGCCCCACGCTCTGCGCTCTGACCTCGCTGACTGTTCCCACAGCCACAGCCCGCTCCGCCAGGGGATGAGTGTAAGCTATTTGCTCTTGGCCAACACCTATTTTTCTTGTCTTTTCTTTGCAGGCAGACACTGTCTGCCTCTACTGAGGCTGAAGATGCTAGATATTCATTTCCCCAGCGTCTTTTGACCCAATTCTACACAAAGAGGGAAAGTTGGCTGGGATGGAAATGCCCCTACCCTTTTCTGCCTCTGGATATGGCTTAGTGCGGATACGGTATGGGGAGCAGGCATAAACATCTGGTGACCTGGAGGGAGAGCCTGAGAGCGTCACGAAGAAGCTGACCCAGGCCCTGACATCGTCATCTGCTGAATTATCCAAGCCTGGGCCTGCCTGGCTCCTGAGGATCTCACAGCTAAGAGAGATGATATGATGTGTCCAAGGAATCGTAGCTTGTAGGGGGATGCCAGGGTTATCATGATGACTCTGGGAGGCAGAAGTTCTATCTTTTCTTTTTTTCCAGAAGTTGTTTCCATGATACTGCAGCTAAAGCTCAGAGGTTGTATAATCTCTGCAAGGTCACACAACTTCTAACCCAGTCCTCCCAATCTAGGGAGAGGGGCTGGGTAAGACGCAGGGCACCTACTTAAATTCAAATCTCAGATAAACAAGTTCTTTAAGTGTAAGTATGTCCTAGGCAGTATTGGGGATTTTTTACACTATATTTTTTTCCTATTTTACACTGTATTTTTTACTATTTTACACTATATTTTACACTAACAATGTGTTGTTTATGGGAAATTCAATTTAACTGTGCATTCTGTATATTTACTTGCTAAAATCTCACAACCCTATAGGCTGGGGATCTTGTTTTTGTGTCCCATTGCAAGCCTGCTCTGAATTCACCCAGCATGTCAACCACCTGCATAACATGGGATAGAAAAATGGGCCATGTGGTCAAGACGCTAACTGGGACATAAATGAAATGGGCCCAGAGTGCCCTTCCCCAAGCTATAAGAGTGCAGGCTGGTGGCAGCCATACAAATTCATGCCCATCTTTCCCTGGGGCAAGTCCTTTAACAACTCTCTGAATCTCACTTACTCTTCTGGAAGTTAACAAAAATCTTAGTACCTGAGACAAAATGAGATCACATCTGCAAAATATTAGCTCAGTGCCTGGCACTAAGTGCTCTCTATGAGCCTCTCTTCCTTCTCCTCCTCCTGCTAATGTCCTTATGTAGTATTCCTATTTGTGTTACCATCATCACTGTTACTGTTTCAATTATTAGCATTCAGTGCCAGGCCTTGCAGCCTGCACCAAAGACCCCTCCTTGGAGCCGCTTCTCTCCGTGCTGCCAGCAGAGGGCGCCATTGCCTGACAAAGAGGCAGCCACCCGGCCCCAGCCCCGGTGTTCGCTCTCTAGGATCAGGTTTCTCCAGCCGGTGCCTCTGGGCCCCAGGTTGTAAGTCAGCCTGTGCTGCCTCAGACCTACCTGTCACTGCCCTCCTTACCAGCTCAGTCCTGTTCAGGAAGCCTCTGCCTGGCCTCCCATTTGGGAGCATTTTCTAACAGGCTACTGTTGGACTATTTCTTCCTTTTACCTCTTACCAACCCATGCCCTGGTTTTTAATAAAAGTCCTGGTGGAGAATGATCAGAAGAGGCTCTGTCGAGGTGCTGTCCACCAGTGTTTCTCCTGGATTTTTCAGCATGCGAGAGTCAGATGGAACTAATCCCTGCCTCTCCTGCTTCTCCCAGCACAGGCCAAGCAACCTTGGGCTTGTAGGGTCATCCTGCTGAGCTTCCATTTCCTCATCCGTGTAAAAGGGAAAGGCCCCTCCTGAGACTTGGAGTAGCTGATGTTGGCAAACGTGCTCGCCCCATCCTGGGGCTCAGTCAGCAGGGCATGTCTGGGTTTTCACTCCATACTGGAGAATCTCCCCGCCAAGTCCACACAAGGAAGGTTCTAGGGAGTCTAGTGATACCTGGTGAGAGCTGGTGGTGACAATAATAATTGATGAGCCTGCCACAGTTTCCCAAAAAGTCATCACATTTATTGTTTTAATCCTTACAAGAATTCTGTAGAATAAGATGTATTTTTAGAGCAAAGGTGTCAAGTTGGGGTGAGGGAGCATTTCCTTAAATGAAAGATGCATGGCTGTTCATTCGGAGCTTTGTGTTCTGGTTGGGACATCGCTGTCTCTGGCCTGTCTGTGGGGACACGGATGGCCAGTAAGCGGCTACTCTGAGTTGGGAGCCCGGATGGTTCTGTGTGGGTGCCGTTCTGTTTATTCCTCGTGGCAGGCTTAAGAGGTAGGGAGCGTTTCTACATCTGTTTTACTGGCCAAGAGATGGGGCTGAGGGAAGCCAAGGAATTTGCTAGGGAGCCAGGGTGCAAAGGCAGCGTGTCTCACTCCAGACTCATGCTGGGGCCACAGCCCACAAGAAAGGAATGGAAGGAAGGCCACTCAGCAGGGCTGGGAGCCGCACTCTCACAAGCCAGGGAACCTGACCCTGACCCCCCAACCTCCCCCACCCCGCATGCAACCTGAGATTTGGCCTCCCCATCTGCAAAAGAGAAAGCACTGCGTTTGCTGCCAACTTCGGGGATTATTCTGAAGCTCATGTGAGAGAGTAGATAGAAAATTGTTTCCTAAACCAAGCTGGAGAGCAAGGATTCTAGCTGAGCCCACTCTGGAATTCAGACAAGCCTGGGCCTGTTTGGGGAAAGCCCGAGCAGGCCCCCAAGGAGTCAATTTCATGAGACTTTCGGTTGTTTGTTTGCGCTGAAAGGAGAACGAGGACGTGGCTTTGCACACCAGAGTCTCGGGGAGATAGTGGCCGGGAACCCCCGGGTCTGTCCAGGATATTGTCCTGCAAGCTCAGCTCAGGCACCCGCCCTGTGTGCCCAGGGGCCAGTGAGGCTGCTGGGGGACTGCTTCGGCCAGGGGATCCCTGAGCCGGGCCGGAGCACCCACAGAGCCGACGTGGGACCAGGGCACGAAGCTCCTTAGTGGCAGTGGGCCTTGAGGGGTGGCTGGAGCAGAAGGCAAGAGGACGGTGCATAAGCTCTAAGGGGACCCTTCAGGGCTCTGCGAAATGTGTGCAGGCCCAGCAGTTAAGATGCAGTCACTGCCATGCACGGGACCCCAAGGTCAGGCCTGGGGAGATCTGAGCATCACCTTTGAAGGGCTGTGGTGGCACGCTGGCTTATTTTTCATTGTCAGGACAAAAGTCAGAAACGTGAAGTGGTCTTCTGGCCAGGTCCTCGGAGACGTGCTGCTCACGAGGGGGTGTCCGCCCCTGTCCTGGTGGGAGGCAGAGAGGCAGGCTTGGAGTCACCCAGCGCGGAATTCAAAGCTTCGCTCCACCTTTTACAAACACGGTGGTCTCAGCTCTCTGAAGGCTGCTCCCCTCACCTGCGAAATGTAGGGGAGGACACGTCGCTGCCAGGTCAAGGGGGCTCCTCAGTGAGATGCTGAGTCGTGATGCGCCTAACACAGCGGGGGGGGGCTCACTTGTGTTTTCCAGTCTTTCTTTCTCCTCCCTCCCCAGTCGCTTTCCTTTCATCCGTTCAAAATAGCCTGCAATGCCCTACGTGGTTCTTTGGGCTCTGGTCAGAGTGTACTAACGCTTTGTGAAGCAACTAGAATCAGACGGGCATCCCAGAAATTATTGTCTCAATGCCTCTGGTAGACACAGTCTCAGTGCAGCCCACTGTTCCCTTCCAGAAACAAGACAGGCCGGGAGTCTCCCTGCGCAACCCTGGTCTGCTTCGGTTCCCCATGAAACTATTTTGCTCTGTTTCTTTTTTTATCACATTTGCTGTTTTGTCTCTACTTTTCACATCCCCATTGCGTGGAGAGTCCAGCTGAATATCTGGACTTCAGAGAAGTCAGTCTCCTGAAAAAGGATGCTGTGTGGTGTGTGGGAAATGAAGAGTAAAGTGCACAGAATGAAATCAATAAGGGATCTATGTGGAGAGGATGGGACAGGTAGGAAGAACCTAGCTTCCGTGTTTGCCCAAAGCCGCGGGCAGTACTGTGCCCATCCTCTGTGGCGGAAGGACGAGAGGAGGATGGCTTTCTCTGCAAAATCGTTTTCCTTTCCAAGAAAGCAAAATCACACAGGAGTTCGTTTTAAAAACTCAGCTGCCTCTGACATCGAAGCCCATCTCCGGGCTGGCACAGGGAAGTGATGGCCAAGGCCATTAAGGGACTGCCATTTGTTTGAAAATGTTGCTAGCTCTAGTTATGGGAAGCGAGGGCCATACATAAAAATACCACAGTGAAGTAAATACATTTTGGCAAGGTCTTTTTTTAAAGTCCTTTTCTCTCTCCAGCCGATGAACCAGCTATTGAAAGAGTACAATCGATGACTTGGGAAAAAGAACAAAGAAGATGAAAAACGATGAGGAAATCTGGCCTATCCCTCTGTCCATTCAGACAGAGTGAATCTAAGGACGGCCTGGGCGGTGGCAGCTCCGGGAGCAGCGGGAGAAGGGGACAGCATTGATAGCCAGGCACAGGGTGGTAGCTGAGCACACTGATTTTTAAAGCCAGATGGCCCTGGGTTTAAATCCCAACAACACCGTTTGCTAACTCTCAGACATTGGGGAAGCTTTTGTAACTTCTCTCAGCCTCAGCCTTCTCATCTCTAAAATGGGATAATCATGTTAACTATCTCCTAGGGCAGCTGTGATATTAAGAAAGTTGAGTCCACAGGGAACCGTTGGTAAAGGGGTGTCATCATCATTGTAATTTGCAGAGCTGGCCACTAGGAGGCTCTTTCTGCTTCTCCCTGTTCACTCGGCCCACCCTTCTTTCCAATCAGTCAGCAAATCCTATTAAGACTCTCTTAAAAATATCTTCCAAATCCATCCTCTCCCTTCCATCCACCCTTCCACTGCCTGGCTTGGCTTACAAATCATGTACCCTGGACTATCCCATAACCCCTGACTGGAGTCCCTCCTCTAGTCTCCCCTTCCAGCCCACCTCTCCCAGTGAGTCAGGAGGGCTCCACACAGAGACTTAATCACAACCTCAACTTAAAACGCTGTAGTGTCTCCATCACCTTCTGGACAAGACCCAAGTGCCTTAGTAGGAGTATTGTGTTGATCAGACATTGTTCAATTGAAAGTGACAGAAATCCACTTCAAACCGGCTTAAGGAAGTAATAAAAGGGGGTAGAAGAGTCAGTTCAGGTCCTCCAAGGAAGCAGATGCCAAGACGGGAGTAGACATGCAAGAGACAGAGGCACCCGGGAAGGTTCAAGGGGAGCAGCAAGGTGATTCGGGTCTGATCCTGTGAAGGAGAGAAGGAAAGAAGATGGGCTGGATAGAGTCTTAGACTGAAGTGCAATTTCTAAATGTTTTGGCCCAGCCAATGGGGAATCCTACAGCTAAAGTCACCAGATAGAGGGGACCCACAGGAATGGGACATGGGATGCTACTGGTGTCCCCAAATGTTTAGTCATTGGCTGGAAGCAGCCCAGCGTTGCTGTGCAGGGGTGGGAGTCTGGGGGCCGGGGGGCAAGGCTTGGCCTGGGAGCCAACGTGGTAGAGGATGCAGAGAGGCTATCAGTCTACTATGCTCCACAGCAACAGGTCTGAGGGACATATATTCATGGCCACCACAGGAAAGGCCTTGGGTGCTCACACAACCCAAAAGTCCAGAAACAGCATTGCTCCAGGCCTGGCTATATCTAGGGTTTCTAGATGACATCTCTACAGTATTTCTCCATTTGGTGGCTCTGCTTCCCTTGGTATGGTCTCCACTCTCCATGTGGTGGTAAGATAACCATTAACAGCTACAGGCTTACCCTTTCTCAGGTTCAGATCCGGGCCCAAAGAGCCTACCTGTTTCTTTCCTGATCATTTGTATAAATGTCCCAGGAATAGATCTGATTGGCTCTGACTGGATCATGTGTCCATCTCTGAACCAATCACCATGGCCAGGGGGAAGCCATGCTCAGATTGGCCAGGCCTGGGTTAAGTGCCCCCTCCTGGAGCTGACCGAAGCTCGGCTTCACCCATCACAACTAAGAGTGGGGGAAGGGTGGTTCTCCAAGGAACACGGGGAAAAATTAGGGGTGCACTTAAAAGAAGAAAGGGAAATGAATGCAGAGCAAACACAACACAGGTTCCCTCTCCATAGATCATTCTTTACATTTCTTCCGGAGGTACATACAGTGGGATTTCACTTATCTCTTGATGGACAACAAACCACCCCTAAACTTAGTGGCTTAAAACAGAGTGATCTGTTACTGCTTATGAATTTGAGGGCTCACCGGGTGGTTCCTCTGCTGGTCTGGCCTTGGGTTGCTGGTGGGACTGCATTCAGCCAGCTCAGCTTGCTCCTCGCGGTCCTCCACATGTCACTTGAACTTCTTCACTTCACGGTGCTGCTTCCCAGAGCATGGAGGAACAGGTTGGCACCTGTCATTTCTGCCACACTGATGGCGTTGGTCAAAGTAAGTCACAGGGCCAGCCCAGAGTGAGGAAGAGGGAAAATAGCCTCTGCCACTTGAAGAAAGGAGCAGAGAAGAATTTGTGACCATTTTTAATCCCCGAAAATGAAAATGAGATTGGGAGGTGGTTCAGATCTGGCCCAATCGCTGAAGGTAGAAGGAGCTTTCCTTTGCCACTTTCCTGGTCGGGGTTATCACCTGGCTTCTCAGTTTCACCTTCTTTCTTTGGAGATTTGGGGTGCGACTGTGACACCTAGAGGGGGCATGCTGGGGACGGACCCAGTGAACAAACCACAGAGGCAAGGCATTTGGTCCCCTAGTTCACCACTAGACTCTGAGCACTTGATGGGGAGGATGCTGGGGATCTTTCATCCCAGGGCTGGGCCCAGAAAGCCATAAGACAGGTGAACACAAAGCTTTTGGGACAGGCAGACCCAAGTCCTCCTCCTGCTTGTGGCATGTGTATGCATGAAAGCTCCCAGCAGCGAGACCCTGCCTGTCCACTCACAGCTATTTCCCTGGCACCCAGCACAGTGCCCGATACCTAGTAGGTGGATGGATAAATGAATGAACCTTCCTGAGCTTCATTTTCTTTATCTGAAAAATCATGGTAACAACAGTAACAGTAACAACTAGCACAGTCAAGATGATGATGTCAAGATCCCCTCAACACAACCTGTGAAGCTCTGCATGATACGGCCTCTATGTACCTCTTCATCCTCATTTCATATCAAGTCATGTGGCTCTCTGGACTCTAGCCACTGAACCTTGTTCCAATTTCTCAGATTCACCCATGCCCTTACCTCAGGATATTTGCACATGCTAATCTCTGTACCAGATGCACTTCCCTCCCCTTCTTCACCTAGTTAGCTGCTGCCCATCTCTAACACCCCTGCTTTATGACCTCTCCCTGGGAGAAGACATCCCTCAACCCCTGGACAAGCTAGATACTCCTGTTGTATGCTCTCAGAGCACTGTGTGTCTTTTCTCCCTGGCTCTTCTCAGAGGTGGTCTTAGGCTTCTCCAGAGAACAAAACCAATAAAAACAGAACACATACACTCACACACACACACACACACACACATCCTATTTATACATATAAAGAGATTTATTGTAAGGAATTGACTCACATGATTTTGGAGGTTAAGAAGTCCCACGATATGTCATTTATAAGCTGGAGGCCCATTAAAGCCAGTGGTTTGGTTCCAGTCTGAGTCCAAAGGCCTGAGAACCAGGAGAACAGATGGTGTGAGTCCCAGTGTGAGGGCAAGAGAAGACCGATGTCCCTGCTCAACAGTCAGGCAGAAAGAGAGCAAATTCTCCCTTCCTCTGCCGATTTGTTCTAGTCAGGCCTTCAACTGATTGGATCCGGCCCATATGTGTTGGAAAGGGCAATCTGCTTTACTCAGCCTACCAATTTAAATGCTAATCTGATCTGGAAGCACCCTCAGAGACACGCCTAGAAATAATGTCTCACCAAATATGTGGGCTCCCCATGGCCAGGTCAAGATGACACATTCCATGAACTGTCACAGTGATAGCTACGGTGAGCCTATTCCTGTTTGGTTAATATCAGTCTTCCCCAGCCTGTCCTCGGCTCTGCGAGACTAGGGATGGGGCTGGTTCCAGAACTTACAGGTACCTGGCACATGGTAGGTGCTTCACACGTATTGGGCTGGATAGACCAATAGATGGATCAATGGGTGTTTGACTGGCCTGGTGCATTGTGCCAAGAGGGCCCTCAACCAGTGTCAGTCACCTTGGGAGGTCTTAGTAAATTGTATTTAAGTAACTGAATGAATGAATGAGCTAGTGAATGGCTGGAACCAATCTACTGTACAAATTTGTGGCAGAAGACAAAATCAGAAATGTAATTACAAAGCAATGAGCAAATGTCAGAAGAATTTAAGCAAATAACTGTAACAGTTCCCCAGCTGTCCCTCTCATTGTTCTTAAAATAAAAGAATTTCTGCTAATGGGGGTTGGAGGGAAAATGAAAAAGCCACATGAATGAAAAGAAGTGACCCCAAGAGTTGGCATCCCAGGAGGACAAGCTGGAGCCTTCGGTGACTTCATGACAGGCTGTCATCACCGTCGCCATGAAAAGCCAGAAGAACTCCCCTCGAGCCATCCCAGCCCCACGGAGCCAAAAATGTACCAACGTCATGTCTGCAGTTGACCTTGGTGCCCAGTGCCTTTCTTCACATTCTTGGGGAGGCACTTGTGAAACTCAACCCAAATGCGGCACAAGGACAGGCGAGTGAGTGCTCATCCACATACCTTCCCTGGCTTCACAGCTGCAGCCTGGCAGGCGCCTTTGTGGGGCCCGCACCCACCCCAGAAACCACCCGTGGGCTAGGCTGAGGCTTGAACCCCTACACCAGTAGGTTGGAGTTGGAAGGGGCCCCAGCAGCCTTTGGTCTGCTCCTTTTGGGCGGACCGGAAAACTGAGGCCCAGAGAGGGACAATGGATGCCCAAGGTCACACAGCAAGTCAGCAGTGGAGTCTGAGGCAAAAGGAGGGATCAGTAAAACTGGTTCTGTTTTTATTTCAAAATTCGGTATTTTGTTTATCCGGGATTTCTGCATTAACTTTGATGTTGGAAAACATTGAATTAAAATATTATTAATCTTGATCACTGAGTGTTTTTAATGCCCCCGTATATTTTGCTCCCGAGGCAAGTGCCTCACCCCGGTGCCAGCCCTGGGAGTCAACCCCTATTTCGTGGGTGGGACGTCCACAGCCCCTTCTCAGACAGGCGGTGCACACTTCCGGGAAGAGCCGGCTTTCTGGGCAGGCCCACCTGGATCCTAAAACTGCCTCTAGCACCCCTGCCCGGTGACCTTGAGCAGGTCACTGAACGTCTGTGAATATTGATTTTGTCTTCTAAAACTTTGGCAGTCCCTCCATCCAACTAACTTTTTTCAGGCTTCTACCATGTGCCTGGCACAGTGCCTGGCCCTGAGTGTGTGGAACTATTGGCCAAATATAATGGGACCATGCCCACAAATTGCCGGGGGGAGAGCCTGAGGTTAGGGCTCTGAGTCAATATCACCCTTTCTTCTTTTCCTTTCTGAGGCAATAGACGCTTGGTGCTCAATATCCCCCAAACCGGCCTGTATCCTCCCAGCTGATTCGGCAACGGGCTCTGGCCCAGCCTAGGCTGGCCCCATTCTGCACCGGATGCCCCAGAAATCTGACCTTCTGCCTCTCGCACCCTCCCCTCCCTGCCAGCCGCATTCCCCGACTCTCAAGCAGGAGATAAGACCGCTGTCTCCTGCTTCTTTCTCTTCTGTCTGGCCTGGCCAAGCCAGAGGGTATGGTCTTAGTTTTCTATATTTATAGCAACGGGGGTGGGGGGATGTGGGCAGGGGGTCGGGTGGCTGGCCCGGAGCTTCTGGGCCTGTGGAAGCCGCCAGCCACAGGGGGTATTTAACTCTGCGCCTGCTGGTTGTAATTCTGGGGGTAGGAGAGCTGGTCGGGACCAGGTCCCTCTGGCTTCGATGACAGGCCTTCAGCAAGCACTATGATTGCAGAGCTGAAACCATTCATTTTCTCCCTGGCAAACTGTAGTTAAAGAGGTGCTAGCGGGCAGCCTGCTTGTCTGCAGGGAGGCTGATCAAAGGGCTCAAGGCATCTGTTTTGTCTCTGTTTTCTTTCCCCCACCCCCCTTTGAAAAAAAAATAGTTAAAAAGTAATTGATGAAAATGAATACCTGTCCTTCTCCGGAGGCTAAAGGGCAGCCACATATTAGAGATATTAAATATGCATTGGGTGTTTTTTACACTTGGGTCAGTTTTATAATGAGAAAATTGGACCTAGAGAATGCTCCCAATGTGTCTGCTCCCATTAAAACCTCTCAGCAGGGTTTTTACAATATCGCACCCGACTTTCTACACCCTAAGGATTTCTTGAAGAAGATGAAACTCTCCCACTCCGGCCTGTGATTGGCGACAGTGTCCCGGAGGGTCCCCACTCCGCAGGCCTCCCAACCCACCTCTCCCTGTGTCCTGGAGCCCAGGGCAGAGGCGGCCCAGTGCGAGATTGTCCAGGACTCCAGCCTCTCACTGCTCACAGAGCCCCGAAGCTTTGGAACTTGCTCTTCACTCGACTGGACGAGAAAGGTTTTCGGCTTAAAAATACACACACTTTACTCACACATTTCTCACTTGGTTTTACAAGAAGATAAAGGCACTTAGGCACGAGAATTAAATATCCCGAGCAGAGACAAAGAAGAACCTGCTTGGGACTCTCAGGAGGTGGGGTACATTTAAGGAGACCTTAGAGGAATAATTCATTAAAAGAAAACAAAAACAAACACCACCAAACTAGAAACACATGTGACATCTCTGAGCTGGAGGAAGTGGGGAGAGGCCTCCGCCCTGCACGCAGGTCTGTGGCCTTGCTCGGAACTTTAGCTCGACTCTTCGTTCCCACAGTCATGGGCACGTGAACGCATCACTGTGCCAGCCCACAGGAGCTGGGAATACTGAGAAGTCCTGGTCCGCCGGCACCAGGTTGGAAGGGCTCACAGTGCTGGCTTAAAAGCTCCCTGTCTTGTGTTCCTATTACATCCTTGTGTGCCAAGATTTTGCTAAGCCCTCTCTAGGCACCCAGTAAGGACCAGCTGTACCCTGGGACCTTTCCAGCCTGCCACCTATAAGGGTTAATTCTCCACTCTCCTTGCCACCCTCCCTCTCTGTCTCTGAGTCCCTCTGGAAAAAGCAGAATAAAATCATCTGTGCATGCGTGGACAGGGAATATAGAGTTTTCAGAGTATTTTCATAGCCCATATTGCAGTAGCATCCCCACCAGGATCCTTTGAAATAGGCATTGCTGTTCTCATTTCACAGATGGGGATAATCAGGACTCTAGAGGTCACACAGCTAGTAGGTTGCAGCTCCCACATCTGGATAACTCCAGAACAAGTTACTGCATTACAACCAGAGTCAGGAGGGTTTTCCAGTGAAAGAACCCAGGCCTTGGCACCTGGCAGACCCTGGTTGGAAACTGACTCTGACCTTGGGCTGGTCACTTTCCTGCTTATCTTAGCGTCTCAGGGTTTGAAGGGGCCACAGTAATCTGGAGTCTGGCAAAGTGATGGCACTCCATAGAAATTGTCCTCCCTTTGATAAGGTTTGGCTCAAGGGACAAAAGTCGCCTATTTGGGGGTCTTCCAGCCATGCTTGGGCCATATGGTTTTCCCTTCCCTCCCCCTGGTCTGAATGCAGCCTTGGAAAATAGAACGAATCACTCAAGCCTGGGGGCGTGGAGATGACCAGGCGCTGGTCCCTCCCTGACTTCATGCCCACTTATTCCCAGCAGGCCTGGCTGCTCATTAGCATTCCGCTGCCTACTGGTATGGGCCATGTAAACATTCTTTCTGGTTCCCCAACACCCCAAGGAAAGGAGGACTGTGCCATCCCCACTGCTTAGTAATTCCATTACATATGCCAGGATGCCACTCCATGTGGAATGGTCCAGCCAGTTGAAGTATTTCCTTCTAATGGGCTTTAATTTTCTTCCAGAATGAATGCCTTAGTGTGTCAGCTTTCCATTCATCAGACTCTGGGCCTCAGCCTGAGAAAGCTCAGCTGGATTGAATGGAGACAATCTCCCTCCCTCCCTCCCTCCCTGACATGCAACACTGACTGAGTTGGATTCGGGGGCTCCCTTCCTTGTCCCCTCTCAGCATCTTGGTGGAGACTTGTGGGTGGGTTAGATTTTCAAAGACAGTTCCTAGCCATGGGCCAGTCCAGGCTGTAATGGGAGGAAACAGCTAAACCCCTACTATGTGTCGAGGATGGTACTAAGCACTTGGCAAATAATTATTGCATAATGATATGCAACGTGTATTTAGCGCTTACCATGTACTAGATCTTGTGGCAAATACTTCCCATGCATTATTTCTCATTCAAGATTCAGCAATACCCTTGAGATCTGTACTATTATTATCCACATTTTTAACATAAGGAAACAGAAACTAGAACAATAACTTGCCCAGGATCACAGTTAACAAGCAATAATACACCTAGGTTTGTGTGACTCAAAATCTTAGTATGCAAACCAATTTTATAATATCAACTAATGTGATCTTCAAAATAACCCATGAGAATGACATTGCTAATTCCATTTTATAGATGAGAAGACAAAGGCACATAAATGGTATATAAGTTGAGTATCTCTCTGAGGTCATGTGCCTGCTAAGTGGGAAGGATGGGATTTGAACTCATGAAGCCTGACTTAAAAAGTGACACTCAAAGACTAGGCTCTGAAGCCCCACCGGATTCTTGAACCTCCAGTTCCCTTGAGGCTAAATGCTCTTTCTTTGCCTGACCTAAGTAGTGAGCTTCTATCCCTCAAGACCCAGTTCAAATGCCCCTCATCAGGAAAGGCTTCCCTAATTATTCCAAACACCTCTGTGCTTCCTTCTCTGTGTACTCAGATAACCAAGGCCGTATACCCAGTTGTCACTTTTTATTTTTATCTGTCTCTCTCATTAAACAGTGGCTCCTTAATGGTGCAATTAAAATCTTCCCTGTCTGGGTATCCTTAAACTTAGCACAGGATAGACACCCAAGTAGTGATGGGGTATAGAGATTAGCTCATTTCTTTTAGCCACTCTGGGATCTTTGGATATATTACCTGATATACTATATCCATATAATCTATTTAGTACATATAGATCAGTGATTTTCAATTGAGAGTGCACATCGGAATCACATACGGAATTTTTAAAAATTCAGATTCCAGGCCTAAAATCAAAACCACAAGAAACAAGTATTGGTGGGGATGTGGAGAAATAGAAACCCTTGTGCACTTTCGGTGGAAATGCAAGCTGGTGCAGCCACTGTGGAAGACAGTATGGAGGTCCCTCAATAACTTAAAAATAGAATTACCCTATGATCCAGCAATTGCACTACTGAGTATTTACCTGTGGAATACAAAACACCATTTCAAAGCGATACATGCACTCCGATGTTTCTTGCAGCACTATTTACAATAGCCAAATTTTGGAAACAAGGTAAGCGTCTGTCGAGAGAAGAATGGATAAAGAAGATGTGGTATATATGTACAATGGAATATTATCCAGACATAAAAAAGAATGAAATCTTAACATTTGCAACAGTACAGATGGATCTAGAGAGTATAATGGTAAGCAAAATAAGCCAGTCAAAAAGACAAATACCATATGATTTCACTCATATGTGGAATTTAAGAAACAAAACAAATGAGCAAAGGGAAAAAAAAGACAACCCAAAAAACAGACTCTTAACTCTAGAGAGCAAACATGGTTACTGGAGGGGAGGATGGGGCTGGGGGGATGGGGGAAATAGGTGATGGGGATTAAGAGTACACTTACGATGAGCACTGAGTAATGTATAGAATTGTTGAAATCACTATATTGTAAACCCAAAACGAATATAACACTGTATGTTAACTACGCTGGAATTAAAATTTTTAAAAACGTGGGGTACCTGAGTGGCTCAGTCGTTAAGCCTCTGCCTTCGGCTCAGGTCATGGTTCCAGGGTCCTGGGATCGAGCCCCTGCATCGGGCTCCCTGCTCAGCGGGAAGCCTGCTTCTCCCTCTCCC